TTTTTTTTTTTTTTTTTACTTTTTTGCTAAATCAAGCTTATATTGTAAACAAGACAAAACAGTGAGGGTGTGTTGCAGTTGACAAGAGGAACAGAAATAAAAGTACCAGCAGCAAGGAAACAGTCCTTACAAAGTAGCTCTCTGTGGCTTTATCGTATGTCAATGTGAAGGACCCAAAATGGCAAGTAAAATAAAATAAATCCACACAGAAGAGTGTTACACCAGAGAGTCACAGGCGACGGAGTGCTTTGTCAGCTTGAAGGTTTGTTACTGGCTCCATTGAAAACAATTGCTGTTATTGAACATCAAGTCTTGAAAAGATTGTCCTCTGTTCAGATGTGTGTTTCTCCTCTCTCAGTTTCTTAGGTAGATCACTTCCTTCTTATCATTTGAACGAGATAAAATACAGATGTGATTTTGTACATGACTGTCAAGTCTCATCCCCAATGCCCACCCTGACAAGAACAAAAAAAAAAGCCCAGCAGAAGCTACCCCAATCTTGAAAAGGATCAACAGTCCTTTTTTTTCCTGTTGGCAGGGTTCAGACCTCCTCTCTCTCAGCTTTTCACATAATTTGCAGATTTGGCATCTGGTGCATGTCATTACGTTAGACAAGGCAGTAGGTAGGTGAGACAGAGAGAGGGAAAAGAGAGAGAGAGAGAGAGAGAGAGAGAGAGGGAGAGGGAGAGAGGATGCTCTCTCTACCCCCATCTTCCCCAAATAATGATCTTCCATTATTTATTAATTTGTCTAGTGCAAAAGAAAAAGAAGAGAGAGAGAGGCTGAATGAGTGTCTCAGACAGTGTCAGGTTTGGGCACAGACACACTTCTTGCGGTGGGATTTTCCTTCTGGGGGTTGCTTCCTCACTCCCCAGCCCTGGGTACCAAGTGTGTCTGAGTGTACAGCCTGCCAGATGATAAAACTCATCAATTTTAAAAGCACACACCTGCAATGGTTTTGCCTTTATGCTAGCACCAGTCATCCTCATCAGCTTCATGGTAATAGCTGCGTCCTCTGGAGCCTGTCCCAGGGCCTGTGTTGAGGCCCAATGTGTAGTGGTAGCCATTGGGAACCCTGCGGATTTGGTGAGACTGGGAAGTCAAGGACGAGACGTAAGAAGTCCTTGAGGACCTTCCTGAATTGGTTGCAACAGCCTCCTCAAAGGTGAGCGTGTCCTCTGGAACAACACGGTATGGACTGTCACTATCATCTCGGTGTCCAAGGTAAGGGTCAGAACCGATGCGGGCCACCATGGTGTGTGAGTGGTTCTGGGAGTCCCCATGCAGTAAAGCATTGTGCTCAGACAAGCCACGGCTCAGGCGTCCCGGGGAGAAAGTGGGCAGGCCGGTTTGGAAACTGGTGAAGTGCACGGGCGAGGAGTTAGCGGTCTTGTAAGTGATGCTGGGGCGAGGGGTCAATGGAGTCTGCGGGAGCTGCCTCCGACCACGGCACGGGGTGCTAGCACCAGATGTTGACATCAAGGGGCTCCCATTAACTGAACCACTACCCTACATGAAAATTGGAACAAAGCAAATCAAAAATAAAAAAGGAAACACCAGACAGACACAAAGGCACATGGGTATAAACAGAAGGACAAGCGACAGGAGGGAGCGACAAGTCACAAGAGGAAAGAAAAACGAAAAAGAGAGAGTTTAGACAAGCACAGTCAGGGGAAGGAGGTTGTAAAGAAGCAGTTAAAACAGAGATGTAAAGAGCTAGAAAACCAAAATACTGTGAGCGGTAAGTTAGAACAGAAGGAGTCAGAGCATTAGTAGGACGCAAACTAGAAGACGGCTCCAACAGAAAGGGACACTGTCCAGAGGAAAGGCATACACACTGTACATAGTCTTTACATGCCCCTTACCTGAGCTATTAAATGGAGCAAGTCAAACACTCAGTTTTGATTTTTTGTACAAGGTTCATACAAAAAATGAAAATTGTTCATAATTTTGCAAACATTTTACAGTGTTTCAGGTTCTTAGGAATGGAAAGTATCAAGCTTCTGATTCTGTGATCTCAATAAACAGCATATTTTGTTTTGTAGGTAGTTCAGTGTAGAATTAAAATAGCCACTTTTGGGGTGTGGGGGGGGGGAAACACATGAAAACTGTTTTGACCAGCTGTATTCTTTACAAGGGGAAATTTAAGGGGCAAAACTTACTTAGAGTCTGTTACTTTCCAAAAGCTTTATTTTTGATTTTCAGGTTATATATCAATGTAAAGGTCTCCATTCTTGGCCAGATCTTGTTCTTATTAAAAGTAATTCTGTGGAAGTCACCCTAGTTATATTAGAGCCAAGTCCTTGTGCTGGTGTTTCTATTTGTAACATCATATGGAAGTACATGAGCTTTTTAAAGAGTGCTTTTATGAGAATGTGCTTACTTCTGATTTTGCAAAAAACCATCTGATACAGACATGCTTTATTTAAGAACTGAAGCTCTTCATCCACATAAAAGTAACAGGTTATTTAAATACCCGTCCTGTTCTGCACATTTTTTAATGCATATTCAAGGATGAATTTAATGGTAGTAGAAGATATCAGTAGTAATGGTACTACTGGTACTACCTTAATGGTAATAGAAGATATTTTAATATTTGTATAATACATTTTAAAAAGTCAAAAGTCTCTCTCTTTGCCCCCCCCCTCCAAATATATAAATAATTTAACATTCGCAGATATGTGTATGTAAGGGGGTAAGGGAGTCATAGTACATGGTTGAGCTATGTTTGCTGACAACCTTGGATGTGGCTTCATATGTAGTTTGTATTTGTTATGCCATATTTCCTGTGATTTGCACCTTTTAGTATACAGAAGCTGTGCCTTCTGGTATTCTTTCTTCACCTTCTTCCTCTTCCTCTTTAGTTTTGCCATACATCTCCCCTCAATGGCTATACTTATTCACATACAACTTCAGGCCAAGAATTTCAAAAGTGACTAGCCATAGTGGGTGCCCAACATGAGATGTCTTTCAAGAGGCAAGTACCTGGGTCTCACTGAAAAGCTGGCCCCTTTTAGGGTGTCTCAAGCTGTGCACCCCAAACTCTCAACCTCTGTCCTTTGTCTCCCAGTCTAGACGCGTTTCATCAATCCCCATTACCATTAGTTGTGATTCTGGGAAATAAGCATTAGGGGGAGGCTGGCCGAGGACAGTAGCTCTCTGTTGCTGACAGGACTGTGAAACTAGCTAGTAAGGTGGTCAAGGCTCCCAGAGACAATTTCTGCAAACTATCAACTTGAAGATTGTCTGTTCATATTAATACTGACAGGAGCTGAGCCTGCAGCATAGGAGTGGAACTCGGTAATTATTTTTGATGAAGATTGAATTCACCAGAAGGGAGCTGGGGGGCACTGAGTTTTTTCAATATTATCTTGTATTAAGAAAACATGTGGCATTGAAACAAGACGCTTCTTTCTTCCCTCCTCCAAATGATCTCAGGTATTTGTGTTTGAAAAGACATGATGGACAAACTAAATGTTAGAGCACTTGTGCAAACGTCTTAATAAAGAGCAACTCGAATTCACTACTGAAAAACTATTAACTTCTGGGAAGCTTTTTTTGTAAACTTGAAAAAGGAGAGTTCTCAGAGCGAAGGGAAAAATTACAGGATCAGAAAGAAAATTCATCTGAGGAACAGAAGACTAGGGGGTAGGATAAGATACACTGAGGGAGCTCAGGAGATGGAGCTGAAATAAACCTGCTGGATCACTGTGTTTGGGTCCCTCCTAGGAGACGGTGCACTTCTGGATATGTCTGATATCAAACTTACATTACACTCAGCCAAAAAGGTACAATAATTTTACAAAGTACGGTCCATTCCCTGGATATTGCAATGTGTTTCAAAGCAGTGGTAAGGCATTAAGCATGTGTTAGAGCTGACACCCAGCTTCAGAGGCTATAACCTATTTGCCTCATAGGGACCAGGAGTATAAAACACATCAGGGGAAAGAGAAGTCCTGAATGGGTGGCACAGGTTATTATGCCTTTTTATGCCTTCCCTGTTTTATTCCATAGGCTCTCACCCACACAGTGAGCATGAGTCTTTCTTCATCTCAGCTATCCATATTTTGAGAGCTGACATTGCCGTGGGGATGCATGGCTGTGAAGCTAACAGTACCAATCAGCCCAGCTAAGACAAGCCGTCAGTCATGCTTCACTGACAGGTTGTAACTTTAGGCAGACTTCTCAGACTGGCTGCAGCATTCTCCCCCTCCAGAGCAATGGATAGACATTATTTTGACATGCACTTAGGAGTCTATCTGGCAACTGCTGAGCCCCCCTCAGCTTCCTTTTCTGGCCTAGTTTTTCTTCCCTTCCCTCCCTTACCTGGGGGAAGGCAGAGAAATGTTGCCTGGACAGAACTGAAGCAGACAGAAGCAGCAGTTCCACAATGGAAGATTTATCTCATTTTCTTCTCTTGTACAGCTGACACGTTGATGGCACTAGGTGCCCTTCCAACTTGCTTTCGAACATTTCTGTAAGTGCATCTCACCCACAACTGTTTGCCAGTTGTAACGATCATACTATGTCAGGAGATGCTTTCAGCTCCATCTCTTGAGCTCCCTCAGTGTATCTTATCCTATCCCATAGTCATCTGCTCCTCGGATGAATTTTCTTTTTGATCCTGTTATTTTTCCCTTCACTCTGAAAACTCTCCTTTTCCAAGTTTACATAATCCTGCCATCACTTACACCCAAGGAACCCTGTAGAAGTCAGTGAGGTGGAACCGAGGTAGGATTTGACTCTCAGGACTCATTTGCTCTTTGCTGAACTGTCCTAGATTGTGTCTTTGTGGTAGGGGTTGTAGTGCTTGGGATTTCTTTGGTTAGTGCAACACCCAAGTATACATAAAGCCCTATATAAAATGGAGCAATAGGAACACAGTTAATAATGCTAGAGACCGAATATCTTAGTCTGTACAACAGACTCAGCATAAAGAAAGGGAGTTGGGCAAACTTTCCTTTCTGCCCTCCTGGCCAGCCTCAGCTGTCATATGGTGAGACCACTTCTCCATGAGCTCTTGGAAGGGAAGCCTGTCTGAAGGCTCCAGTTAGCCTTTGGCTACTCTGCACAGCATGTGGACCTATGTATATTTAGAGTCATTTCAAAAAGTGTAATATTTCCAAAAGGCAGTTAAAGTTTGAGCAATTTTGCTATATGTGTGTCATTCCCTACTTGTAACATGTCCAGCAACTAGAGTGTAACAGCTACTGCCCTTTTGAAACAGCTCCACATACAGGTGTGTCCATACCCACAGACTGTCAATAATGGTGCCAATCATGAGGGTGGTTTCTCTGGTATGGGCACACTATAAGTTGGACTAAGACCAGAAACACATTTTGCAGGAGGTCATCAGAGAGTCCTCTGGTGGCAACAATTCTCAGTTGCTGCACTGGATCTGACCCAGCAAGCTTATTGTAAAGGCTCCATTTCCCAACCCTGTTTGGTTTCTTTCTCTTTTTTTTTTTCAAGCTGGGGCCTTCCTTGAAGACCTCAGACCTTCTCCCACCAAGCACCTCCTCACCTGTCTGTGAGGCCCTTGTTCTGGTCCCCCGTTGGGTGAGGTGGGCCGGCTATGATCGGCAGATTTGGGCTGAGAATGGTCCCGGCTCCCATAGCGGTCGCAGGAGTAGAAGCGTTGTTTTTCAGAGGAAGAGGAGGAGTGCTGCTTCCTCTCTTGGGACCTGCCACGTTCCTGCTTCCTATCTCTGGAAGAAGTCTCTCCTGGCTGGGCCACTGTAACAAGGCAATTGGTTGAGGCTGTGACAGAAGTAGAAATACTCAACTAAGAGCAAATTTCCTTCGAGATGTCTAGGGTACCCCACAGTGACCCCATCCAAATGGAGCCCCTTCCTTCCTGCACTTAATGTAAGTCCCACTTCTGGGCACCACTAGTCATTAACCTGGGGGAAAGCCCCATCGAATACCCTTCCCAACCTCTGTGTTATGTGAATGGATGATGGTTAGAGAGAAATGATCCTCACAGTACAGTTCTATGGAGTATATGAAAGAAGATGGCTTAGAAAAGCTCTTACCTGCATCTCCATCAGCCAGGTGGTGGGAGGGCCTATCCATGGACTTCTGCTTCTTTTCTTTCCGTCGATGGCAGCGATGGTGATGGTGGTGGTGGACCTGGTCTGGTGGCATGCGCTCCAGGGAATAGTTGTACAGGTGCATGGGGTGCGGACGCTGTGGTGTCAATGTGGAGATGGAGCGCTTCATGGGGCTTGTGTCTGGGATGGGCTGCAAAAGACATGGAGGAAGGGGGAGCGGGTAGGAGAGAGCAGAAACCACACTGTAGTTAATTGTTTAGCCTTCAGAATGGGAAAGAGCTGTGTAGGGGTTAGGGGAAAGGAGAAACGTTAGCTGAACAGAACTGAAATGAACGGAAGAAGCAGTTGCACAATGGATGATTTAGAGCCAAATTGGGGAAACTAATGTTAGCATTACCTGAAATAGGATTTACTTCTAACTTGGGGATTGTACACAATTATTGTATCTATGTTGGAATATGCATCGTTTAACATCAGCCCTTACATAAGCATTCGTGTGAGTCACCAGCAGTGAGTTAAGAGGCTCCCAGGGCAGCAGGATATCCAAAGGTTTCTTTCACAAAGATAATTCATCAACTACCATTTCACCCTATGCTATTCCAGAGATTATGATATTCCCAATGCAATTCCAGAGAGTACAGCAGGAAGAAATCGCTATACATCAATGCAAAAGGTAAGCAAATTGGTAATGACGATGAATGAGTGGGGCAGAAAGACAGACCAGGTATCTAGTGGTTAAAGCAACAGACTGGCAAAAAAAAGCTGTTATTTCTGGCTTGAAGGAGGTCAAATATGAGACTCAAGTCACCTTAGCTGGAACTGAGGGTGAGAGAGCAGAGGATTCTCAATGAAAACGAAACCCTGCTTCATTTTTTGCTGCAGCGCGTTTTCCTGGGAAATACACTACAGCAAAAAGATGAAGCTGGGAGTGGGGGGTGGGTAACCCTCCTCTTAGTCGCAACTGTGGGATCCCAGTGGCTTTCTATGGCACCCTGTCCCATTATTTAAGGAAGCATTGTTTTAGGATTTATATTTAGAGCAGGGATTTCTTTTTCTTGGAGTAAGGAGATAACCATTCTTTTTCTCCATCCTCAACATCTTCACTCCACGAGACTGGCTGCCAGTTAAAAGCATCATAAGCTAAGCACCATAACAAAAGGGTAAGGGTGCATCTTTTGCCACTCTGGGTGGGATTTTTGTCATTTGGGCTTTCCCTGCCACTCTTCTGGCTGAGGAAGGCTATGAGAGGGATTCTCCGCTCACATCACCACGATTGATCAGTCATTGGCTAAAATCTTTCTGTTCCTCTTGTACCAGCATTGCCAATACTAGTACCAGCTCAGGCTTTGGCTTTACACTGTAAGCATTAACAAGAGGCTTTCCAAGTGTTTCATAAGTGCACTTCAGGACTGCCACAAAAATCATGCAGACTTTGCTACCTCCACTGCTGCCAATCACAGTACTAACTTTCTGTGAACGACAACACCCCTCTAAAATACTTAAGGATTTGCCAAAGTCCTGCAGAAAGCAAGGTAGATCTGTTATGATGAAGCTTTAGAGTCATGTACTTAATAATTTGGTGAGAAATGTACTGATAGTAATGCCAAGGGACGAGAGTTGGGAATTGGTGGGAAGGATAGCTCTCAGGGTACAAACACACCATATGTTTCCCTTGGATTTTACTCTGTAGCAAAGAGCGGGCAAATTGTTTGAAGGTCCCAAGCTGTCTAAAACAAGCACAATTATAACACTTGGCCACTAGACTGGAAGGGAGCTGGTATGCATTAAGCACATAGCTACCCCAACGTGAAGTGATAGTACATGCATAAGCATGTATACTGGAGAAACCTTTTCCACAGTAAATTTACTTGAGACTTTCTCAGAGAAGTCCCCTAGGGACCAGCATTTTCTCCAGAATAAATGTTGTGCATTGTGTGTTCACGCTACTTTTTCTCTGGAACAAACAGCATACTCCAAAGCAAGTGTGTTGTACGCCCACACCCTCAGCGAAGCTGCATTGCTGTTCTTTTTTATAACGCCATGGTCTTTGCCTGGGTTACCCTGCCTGCTACTCTCTGTCTGAGACCTACCTCCTGCACAACCGCTAATTACAAAGCTGACAAAACAACAAGACTCAATCTGCTTTCTTTTCTTTTTTCAGTTCTGGCCACCAGCTGTTCTGTGGCCCTAGTTTGTGGATGAGCCGGTGTCCCTCCCAGCTTCTAAGGTCTCTGCTTTGTTTAGATATTATACAAAAGCAACATGGTGGAGGGAAGATCTTTAATTATTGCAGATTCAGGCTTCCTGGACATGAAACCAGGATTTCCCCAAGTCCCTTCAACGTAATGTTTGTTTGAACGTTCACTCCAAAATGCGCCTGAAATAACAGCTGTCCCAGAGCATTTATTCTGCTCTTTGTAAATTTGCTAAGTAATCTATTTTCTACTCTGTGTTACTCTGCTTACATTGGAGTTTAGATCTCTGTTATCCCCCTGGTATTTGCACAATACAAAGCTAGCTAACATGCAGCTCCATTAATTATTTTTCATAGAAGACACCATTCCTCTCCCAGTGGGCAGTGTCAGTGACTGAATATCTTATCTTGCAGGAGAAAAAGAAATCTGAGCTGAACTTTTAACCATAGTAACCTTTTTTTTTTTTTTTTTTTTTTTTTTTT